TTTTTTTTGTGTATATACTATATATCGTGAAACAGAGTATACATAATAAGTTGGAAGTCCCGAAAAAAAAATAAAAAAATAATAATAATAAGTTGGAATGCTTCTGGGTTGTTGTCTCTGGCAAATGTTGGTCAGGTTATTGTCTCTGGCAAACTTGAGAGCAATCTGCCCAGTTTGGCCTGTCGGTGGCAGGCTGGCAATCATCCTTCCACATTCACAATCGTTTTTATCCAAATAGGACCCCTGGTCATTATGACTGAATCCAGACTTAAAGTTGGGTCAAATACAGTGACAATGACGGGGCGTTCTATTCGGCTGACGACAGTGGTCGTTTTCCGCTATCTTTGACTCGTGAGCTATTTTTAGTATTTTGCCTTTCCCTGATGTGCCTTTCCCTGATGTGCCTTTCCCAGGTGTCCCAAGAGTCCCAGTCCCGTGCACTACAACTGAACCGGCAAGCCCTGCGGCCGAAACGCCGACTCAGGCCCAGTAGGTCGTTAGAAGTCTTAAAAAAACCACCAGTACCTCCGAGCCTGTTTTTGCCGACCCTGATTTTCACTGCGCGCCAATTTTTGCCGAGCCTGGATTCCGTTTTGTTTCTTTTCTGGTACTCTTCTGGAAAAAAAAAAAAAAACAACGACGGCCAGACTTTCAGAAAAGAACAAGCACGGGGTTACAGCCAGGCCGCTCATATCCACAAAAAAAAAAAAAGAGGAAAACCAAACACCCCTTCGGACGTGATACCAGGTAGATATACCTACCCCAAAGTAGTTGTGTGAGTATGCCCTCAGTGAGGGCGTTATGGCAGGGGTGTCAGGTCCACAGATGGAAAAAAAAAAAAAAAAAAAAAAAGAAACTGAACTTAGGCCGGGAAAGCGGGTTCATACATTTCTGCGAAGTAGCAGTGTGGGCATGCCCTCCTTCACAAAGTGTCAGCAGCCCGTGGACTGAGCCGTGCCTCTCCGGAAAGGCACCAAAACAAGAGAAAAAAAGAAAAAGAAAACAAAAACACAGCCAGGGCCATAAGGACCTGTTTTATTGGGGTTGGGGGGGGGGCAACTAGAACCTGAAACTGGCCACAATAGCGGGTAGATTCAAACTTGTTACGCGTTTTTGTGTGTGCACAACTTCGTGCATGGCCTTCCCCGACATGGCCTTTTCTTTTTCTTTGTGTTTTTCGAATGGGCCCAGAAGTCCCAACTTCCGAGCCTCGTCCGACCCCCGAAAAGTTCGGGAAAAAATGGGAAACTGCCAGTTTTCCCATTTTTCTTCCCAAGAGGTGAGCGAGGTTGTAGTGGTTTAAGTCGTTAGGAGTCCCGTAGGTCCGGTACCCGACAGGAAAAGTCCCAAGTCCCAGTCTAAACTTAGCAGCAGCGTCTAGGGGAGGTCCGGGAACTTCTGGAACCGACAGAATTTCCATCTGACAGGCCTTGGAAGACCATTACCGATCTGGAGCCAGCAGAGATTGTCAATTGCAGCTGCTTCAGGACATGGGAGTGCTGCTTGTTCATTCATTATCATGTGAAAGCGCTGCTGTACGCATGTGTGACGTTTCGATGAGACTGGTCGGGGGAACTGGCGGAATAACCTGGCACAAGGTGCCATAGCGAGGGCCAAGCGCACGTGCGCGCACGAGCACACTAGCAAAAGAGAGAGAGAGAGAGAGAGAGAGAGAGAGAGAGAGAGAGAGAGAGAGAGAGAGAGAGAGAGAGAG